AAATCTATTGTTTATCAAATTAAAATCACTGGGTATATCTGAAAAAATGGTAAACTGTATAAAGTCTATGTATAGTAATGTAAATTTATGTGTAAAATTTAATAATAATTATTCAGATTGTTTTCCATCTTATGCAGGCGTGAAACAGGGAGATAACCTATCACCATTATTATTTTTATTTTATTTGAATGATATTAACTCATTTATGAATTATAAAGTTATTGATCCTGTCATTATTGATTCTCTGATATTAACATCCTTAATGTATGCCGATGATACGACATTAATGTCCACTTCCGCCAAAGGCTTACAGCATCTGCTAATTAGATTAAATGAATATTGCTTAAAATGGAATTTAACTGTCAACACCGAAAAAACAAAAATTATGATTTTTCAAAACTCTTCCTTAAATGTTGGTAAATTTCATTTTACGTATGCTAATGAAAATGTAGAAATTGTTAAATCTTTTAATTATCTTGGTGTGGAACTGTTTTACAATGGTAATTTTAACAAATATCAGAAATCTATTGCATCTAAAGCCCTGTATCAATTATATAATGTTCTTAACAAAGTAAATCTTGATGTAAAACAGCAATTTTTTCTATTTGACTCTTATATAGGATCAATTCTTAATTATGCTTGTGCGAGTTGGGGCTTCCATAGTTCTCCAGACATTGAAAAACTACACCTACAGTTCTGTAAACGGACATTACTTTTAAAATCCTCTACGCATAGTGCTTCGGTGTATGGAGAGCTTGGAAGAACAACTCAATATTACTCCAGACTAAATTGTATATTAAAATATTGGATAAATGTTTTATCAGATAAGAGTAGTTTAAAATATACTGTTTACAACCACTCACGGGTTTCGGATTTGGACAGGAAATACAGTAATAAAACATGGGTGTTCAATGTTAAAAGTTTACTGGATAATCTTGGCTGTTCCTTTTACTGGACGAATCAAGATTCTGATCTTCCTTATTTTAATGTTTTAAAAGCTAAACTGTTTGATCAATCTATCCAAGAATGGAATTCTTCACGTTTTGCTTCATCTAAGTTAAGCACATATAATTCGTTCACAGATTTACCTCTATTTAAATTTTATCTATGCATTGATGACCTCAAACTGAAGTTTAGAGTAGCCCTCAGTATATTTAGATGCTCGTCGCATTCGCTCTGCATAGAAACTGGCAGATATTTAAATACACCCAGGAAAGAGAGATTATGTAAATATTGTACACTGAAGACGTTGGAAGATGAATACCATTTTTTGTTAATTTGTCCTGCATATCATGCTTTAAGAGAATCGTATTTACCATCTAAGTATTATACTAGTCCAAATATCTATAAATTTGTCTCTTTGATGTCGTCAACTGATCAAAAACTTATTATATCTACAGCTAAATTTATATATTTCGCTTTTGCTCAACGTTCATCATTACCTTCCTAAACTTGAAAGTTAATTAAGCTTTCATATTACATATGAAAGCTTATTGTTTCTGTTAAGATTATTATTGTTATTTTTTTTTTGTGTTTTGTCCACAAATCGGATTTCTCAGAATCTAACCATAGGATCGTTCTGAAACTTTTACCTATCCCCCCAAAAATGGGTGGTGGCTGTTGATTAAATATATTTTCAAAACGTTTTACGAATCCGAAATCACCGAATTTTACGAAGGAATGCATTTGACCTACAATGCTGTAACTTTGTGACTATTTGACCTATTTTACTAATTCTTTTTTCTTTGAGTATCTTGAAACATTTACTTCAAATCTGCAATTTCGGATTTTGGCATTTCGAAAATTCGTCGCTGTCATTTCGAACCGGAAGTTATTACCAATTTGACAACTTCTTTAATAGTTGTGCGATTTTCGTGAAATTTAGAATGTTAGTAGATCTTGCCAATGCGACTTCAATGATGTCCTTGGAAATTTTCTAAATTATCTCCCCTTGGTGAAATTAAGGATCAAAGTTTTCAAAAAAATCGTCGAAATATAGGTCAGAATGACCTAAAAAAAAAATTCGATACTAGACAAGTAATTACTGATTCGTACACAAAATATGGAGTTTGTCGATCGAACCGGAAGTGCCACCATCTTTAAACGTGAAAAATCAAAAAGGCTTTTTTGCTATTTTACTTACAGACTCGGGCGTCATATTTTCGGAATCCTGGAAGGAATGTCTAAAAATCTATCGGATCAGAATTTTGATTTCGGTCACGTGATGGTCACCATTTTGAATTGAAAATGAAAAATAGAAGAAATTTGAAGGGCCGGGACTTTGGAACACAAGAACTCTCCTTCTTATTAAGCTAGAATGTTCAAACTTGGTGTAGGCGTTCACTAGGTCAATGTCATGATTGAGTTCAAAGATGAGCATTTTTTGCTTAGGGTAAGCAGAGATAAGCAAGCTGATTTGTTGATTCTTTAGGGCACGATGACATTGGTTATAATGAATGGAGGGCGATGAAACTCTTGTCAATCGAGAGGCTAATAGCTGGCCTGTTGTGTGAAATCATTGTATTATTTTTTGAAAATGTCCGGGGTAGCCGAAAAAAGGAGATCGAAATCCAAAAAGTCGTATTTTTACGATTTGGGGCATTTTTAGAGGTCGTGTAAAGTAAAATAAAGCATGCATATACATATATAGATGGCCAGCAAAGTTGTCTTGTACAGAGAGAGAGAGAGAGAAATGGGGTTTAACGTCCACTCAACACAAACTAGGTCATTTTGGGACTAACATACGGTTTCAATTTTATTTCAATAATTCGCTTGCGCGTATGGGTCTTTAGCAGTGAGAGGAAACCGGAGTTCCCGGAGGAAACCCACGAGGTTGAGAAGACGCCTCTATCTCCATGCCACATACGCTCACACCTGGGATCAAAGCCACAGCCACAAGCCAGAGGTGACCGACCAGCTAGAGGTCGAAGCGCGGTACTCTAGGCCATCACAACCCCCCTTTCTTGTACAGACCTGTGCATGTGTAGTCAATGTGAAAATGAAAAAAAAACTGTTAAAGAGACCGAATTTGATGTTAATACATTTAGTGACAGTGATGATGATAATGAAGATTAACTTTGATGACATTTGATGTGCAGAGTAACTGTTTAATTTTGATTTTCAATGATTGTTTCACTTTAATAAATAATTTCACAACTGTTCATCCTGTTTTCTAACCTTTCCCTTCATTCCAGCCCAGATACACAATTATTTTTTTTAACTTATATCTACATGTATGTTTGTAATTTGACCATTAATCATATCCGAAATAGTAGTTCACAGCTACATGTACAGTTGTAAAAATACTGTAGTTGCTAATTGAAAGGGAACATGTATGTGGGTTTAGAATGTTTATCTTAGTGGAAAAAAATCATGTGGTTCAATGCTTATAAAGTGCTACTGATCTCCATTATTTCAAAAGCATATCACTCAACTACTGTCAAACATATCCCCTGGCTAGAATATGCTATAAATCGACTCTAGCATGTTCCATACAAGCGATAATTTCTGAGCAAACATCCAACAACCAACCCTAACAGGCCCTTGAGATCCAACAAACAAAATAATTATTGGGCTTGTTTGCCCACACCTGGTCTTATGATTCATACAAGACCTGATAGTCTATCAATTACAGGCATTTGACAGAAAGGGAGATAATTCTTTTTTACCGTTAATGGATTTCCACAATTCTTTATTCACCCATGACATTTGTGTTTTGAGCATTTTTATTTACATCAAAATCTGTCCAATAAACTGTTCATTGCCAAGGATGAAGGCATGAGGTGTTTTACCAACTATTTAATTTTATGTCAACTTCAGAATTGTTAGTACACAAATAGCATTTATTTGACAATTTTGACGAATTTCATCTGGCCCTAAATCAATAAATTGCAAACATTTTGCTTGGAACTCCCAGATTTTGTCTTCCTGGCATCATAAGCTTTCCAAAAATGTATAGTTTTTCTTTTATGGAAGACCTTGTAGCGGAGTTGTGTTTCGAAGCTAGCTAGAAATTTTGGCTGCAGGCCTACACCTCCCAAGCTAAATTTCCCTCATGTCATCCTGTATAGCAAAGGCATATGCCTGTCTTAATTAACCCAGTACTAAACACAATTTACTTGTTTAATTTTTCCAGCATTTTTCAGGATAGCTGATGGGATGCGGGTCAAGTTATGCCACTTGTCTATTTAATTATTTACCAGTGAAAAATCGAATTAACTTCACCAAATTTTTACTCATTATAATGATTTTTTTTTTCTGTTCATATTATTTCTATGACATGTGACAGTGACTGTGAATATGAAAGCTTTAATATCTGCTTAGCAGATCTAGTTTTATTTTATATTTATTGTTTGTAAATAACTATTATTATTTTTGTTTTTTGTTTTTTGTTTTTCTTTTTAATTACACGTTTTTTCATTTTGATTGCATTATTGTATAATTTAAGGCTATAAGTTGTTTAACTTAATGCTATATGTAATAAAGTATTATAGCCGTAAAAATGTTTTTTGTTTTGACTTCGCACAGTTTTTAATTTCCTGTTGAAATGGAAAAAAATCGCTAAACTCGGTACTTCTGCAAACAATAAAAACAGCCAAAAATCAAAATTTAAAGAAGTTTTCCGAAAAATATAAATAGCGTTCTGTGGCTTTAAGGAGAGCATTAAAATTGATATTAATACGTACTTATGATTTTAATGGAGGCATGAAAATAACGAATGATATTTATGGGAGCATGACATGAATGTGCCGATTCTGTAACATAAAATAAAGTACGGCGTTGACCTAGCTATTCGATAAATCGGTGTATGGCGACCTTAAAATAAGTTACTCATGGGCTTCTCCGTATCTTGTAATAACAAGATAGTTATCTTAGGCGCTATCTTGTAATTACAAGATAGTCAGAATTTTTTTTTCATTTGATTGACCCTAATGGGCCTCCGTAATTTTGTCTGTATAATTGATACGACTTATAATATATATTTCCTGTTAGCTCTGATAACGTAACGTAACTTTCCTGTTTCAATTAAAACTTTAACACGTGATTAAGGGGAATCACGTGTTTGTATCTTGGGGAATTTGTATTGTCACTGAAGAATCTGAAGGTAAAGGATTATATTTTTACAAGTCTAATATTTTATTTAGTTAAATGCAATTGTCATTGGAAGTCTTCCGCTGTTAAATACGGGGTTATGAAACCGAGAATCGGAAGGTAATGGATTATATTTTATTTAGTTAAATTCAATCTTTGTTAATCATATTATATGTTTACAATTCGACTTCTTCGCAAACTTATTCTTAGATTCTCTAATTTCAGGGGAGTGGGGGGGGGTCTCTTCTCTCTCTCTATACTTTAAACAGAAATGAAATCAAATAATAATAGTAATAATGACTTTATTTTCTGAGGGAACATATTTAGTACATGAGTTCTAATTTTCAACATGTCCCGCCTACCCTATAAAACTAGCAACTACACAGTAATAATATTTACAAAGTGCATATATATCATATTATAAAAGCTTATAAATGGAGTTTAATGTCGTTATTGTCTGCACCAACCCGACTAATGGAGTTGGTGACCGAATGGTTCAATGCATGCGCATTAGATCATAAGGTCTGCCATTGAGTCAAGTGGCGTGGCTGCATTCCATCGGTTGTACTCAACAAGAGTATGTCTGGCGACCATCGTGAGTTTTATTCCGGATCCTAAGGTTTAATTCAATGGCTTTTAAGCTAGAAATGTATGCGCAAGCGAATTATTGAAATAAAATTGATTCATTTTATTGTGGCACCAGGGCCGTATGTAGGATTTTAAAAGTGGGGGTGCAGCGGAGTGGTGGGGTGCGCCAATATAATGCCCGAGTTATTGAGCGCGGAGCGGCGACCGGCGTATGCGTGTGTGTGGGTGTGTGTGTGTGTGTCCCCACGAAAATTTTGAAAATAAGGCTGCCGCAAACGCGTTTCCAAAACGCGTGGCGCCCCAAAGCCTCCACATAAGTGATATAAGAAAGTTTGGATCAGGGCAAACGAATAAGGTATCTATTGGCGTGTGGGTGCCATTAAAACCGACCGACTCATCAGTTCCCTAAGAGGATCACAGTGTGATCATAATCAAGTGTGTTATTTTATAATTGAAAGGTTGTCAATTTTTTTAGGGGGCGCCTTATTTTTCTGGGGGTGCAATGTACCACCTGCACCCCCGCTAGATACGGCCCTGTGTGGCACTATAATTTATAAGTATTAAATAATATTCGAAATGATGTAACGATTTATTAGTATGAAAATAATATTCATGGTGATGTAACGATTGGTGTTTGAATTGAGTTAGTATCATTTCTTTTGGATTGTTCATTATATGTTTCAGATTGAGACAGAATAATTGTTAAAATGAGATCTATTTGTCGATGTCATCTTTACTTCTTGTTAGTTTCATGTGGATGGCTGATAACTGTTTACGCCTCATGGAAACCAGGGTGTGAAGGTTACTTCCTGTACAATCCTAAAGACGGATACACGTGTAAATATGCCGAATGCAGACAACCTGGCCCGACGAAACGAAAATTCCACGTAGTCTGCAAGAAAAGGAATCAGCAACCATATGAATGTGTTTATGAGGGCAATCCACATGGTTGTTCCTATTACTACAATCACCATCAAATTGAGTTTTATAAAGGCCTGTCGGACGCAGCTGGAAAAGATCAACCCACTGCCTGTTCACAATCTCAGCTAGTTTTTGATAAATGTAGGGATATTAAAATGATCAGAACGATCAACAGACGCAACAAGGCTGATCCATTTTGTAAAGTTGAGCCGGATTTCTTATTCTATGTCGTTAGAAAAAAACCTGCAATTTAACCATGACGATCAACAGACGCAACAAGGCTGATCCATTTTGTAATGTTAAACCGGATTTCTAATTCCATGTCGTTTAAAAAAAGGGAAATAATCTCTCAAGATGCTTTAACGCTTTGAACATCTTAGATGTGTCGTGTACAAGTACGCTTAGCTTAACGAGATCTGACTAATGACATTCAATTACTTTATTGAATTGTCAGGTATCCTCTTACAGTCCCATATAACAACTTTTGGTCTTGGAAGGAATTATTAGTGAGCAGAAATTCGGTCGTGTATCTGTTATCACTCGTCACATCAGTCAGTTATATAGAGGGGTTACTCGTGATTTCCTTTGGCGTTCGTCACTTCCGATTCAGGAAACGTGTATTACTCAGCTATCGTAGCAATGATCTCTGTGTTAAAATTATATTTGGAATGTGTTTAACCAGCTCTATCACATATGTGATAATGACTCGCACCAATATTGTCCTTTAACACAATAGTCCAGAGTATAGTGATTTTCAATGGAAGCTTCTGCAAAATGCTTTGCTTAAATAAAAGTGTTACGTTATTCGTTACCACAGTATTATATAGGGCAGCCTTTTATTGGGACCTTCTGTATAATAAACAAAACACAAGGCATGCCTGGTTATATCGCCAATAGGCGGATAGGGTTGGGGCACTCTGTATAAGAAACAACCCACAAGGAGTGCTTGTAGCTTCAACGAGATTGGGTTAAGGTGGGGTCATCAATGCTTCAAAAATATTTATGAAGTAATCATAATCTATAAATACGCTAAGTACAAGTTAAAGTCTCAATACCACTCTTGTTGTAACTGAATAATATGTCCCAATCTTTATTCTGGTCAACAAATTGTACTATTTTAGAATATTTCAATTAATTGATGATACAAATTTCATCTTAACACACCTTATTTTAAAATTTTGAAAAATTCAACATAATGGTTTGAAACGTCTAACGTAAACCTTTTCAAATGAAACTTGGATTTAAAAATATTTAGGGGGGTTGGATGGCTGAATGGTTAGCGTGCGCGCGCTGTATCATAAAGTCTGTCATTGAGTCGACTGGCGTGGTTTCGAATCCCCGGTTGTACGTGGCAAGGAGTAGGGTCGCCTGTCCAACCTCGTGGGTTTTCTCCGGGGCCTCCGGTTTCCTCCCACTGCTAAAGACCCCTACGCGCAAGCGAATTATGTAAATAAAAATTAAACCATATGTTAGTCCCGAAATGACCTAGTTTGTGTCGAGTGGACGTTGAACCCCATTTCTCTCTCTCTCTCTCTCTCTCTCTCTCTCTCTTTAACAATATTTTGGAACCCTCTGGACAAGTAAAATAGGATGTAATGGATAATTTACACAACAGGTAGGACACTTAAACATCTAGTACTTAGATAGAGATATTATTTATTTTCTGGAGCTTTCAAACCAGCAACATTGTTATTGTCCCTTTAATCTTTATTCGTAAACAATGTGGTTATAAAACAAAAAAACTTTTTCATATTCAGCTTTATTATATTATGTCGAGTAACTGTGCCATACAATTAAATTTTTCATGAAAATGTACATTTGCATTAAAATGCTTAATTGTACTGTTTTTGCGCTCTTCTAATTTGTAAACATTTTTTGCAAAAATAAAAATCGGCTCACTATTCTTCACTTATTTCATAATTTGGAAAATAATTTGTTGGTTTTTTTTATAAATTTAACGTCCAATACATTGAAAGATTTAATTTAATTAAATTATTTACATATGAAGGCGTAATATTTATATGAAAAAGAAAATATGTAAAAAATTGGAAACAATACCGGCCCAGATGTCCACTCAACACAAACTGGTTATTTTGGGACTGATATATGGTGCAGTATTATTTCACTAATTCGAAGGTCCGTAGTGGTCTTGAGCAGAAAACCTCTGACCAACGAGGTTTAGGCAGGCAACCTTGCTCCTTGCAACGTACAAGCGTGGAATCGAAACCACGCCCCTTGACTCAATGACAGGGCTTATAATCTAAAGGTCACGCGTTAAATCAACCCCCAGCACTAATAAGTCATTTTAAACAAGCGGTAAGATTTATGGAAATCCCCTTATATTTTGAAGTGTGATTTCGATTACCTCAGTAACGTCAATAGTACAGGAAGTCTGGACTTGTTCATTATGAATCAATTACGTTTAATTTAAATGGTATGTCTGCTGTTACGCCACGCCTCCTAGGTGGCGCTGTGCAACTGTCTTACCCCACAAGAGGGTAATTTGATTCATGCAACCCCCCATATGAAAGAATAGTTTCGCGCCTTTCCACAACGCGATGCAAGCTGAAGCTAGTGCCAGCAAGCACTTAACTAGCATATTTTCTTTGTCAAACTTACATGTAGGTAATTATTCAGAAGTTTCTGAATATGGTTCAGGCGCCGGAGCAGGAGAAAGAGGAACGTCCTACTGTTCTGCTCCACTAGGTTAATGAAGACGGACGTGTTTCAATAAACCACGTGCTATTGGTATGATAAATCACACCCTCTAGCAATTATACAAGCGTTTTTAATTGAAACCATTCAAGACAGATTTATTATTAAAGTAGATAATAGCAAAAACTATCTATTTTATTATGCCTTTCTATGAAAGCCATTGATCAACACTGATATTGTGTGTAAAGTATATATAATATGTAGAGTGTGAATAAAAACCTTTTCAAGAGAAAAGAGAAAGAAATGGGTAGCTCTCCGTGCGTAAACGTTTTTAATTGATGTTTTAAATCATGTATTCCATACATAAAGTCATAAGTTTTATATTTAGAAATACCTTCATGAATAAAGTCTGGTATGAACTGGCATATAACCATTTCTAGTAAATGCACATAAACTGATTAACCGTGATATAACATTCTCTTGACTTTAATGTATCAGGGGAGGTCAACATTTTATATATCATACGTTAGGTTGTTTACACGAATTCAAGTCCGCCGGAAACCCGGTCTACTTCAATACTTTAATAAACAAGCTCCATGTTCCCAGTTTAATTCATTACGCATATTGTAGCAATATAGTCGTTGCGACATTGTTTATAAATTTATAGGCAAGGAATGGAGGAATAAGATGACTTTATATTTCATTAATTAATATATTTGGCAAATTAATAGTTTCACACATATTGTAGTGTGTAATAAATCAACTTAGGGTATAAATGACATATTGTTATATAAAAAAAGAGTTTTTAGCCAAAACATGTGTCTATAAAATACCACAGAGAGTACATGTGCAAGGAAAAGTACTATTGCGTCATTGGGTTTAATTTAACCAATCATATCGTAATTGCACAGGTTCAGGGCCATGATCACACTTGTTTGTGCATGATATCCATAAGTCTTATAAAAGAAATCATATTAAACTTTTAAGTAAGACTTCCATTAGATTCCAGAGAGGTTCCATCTGAGTTCCTAGACAGCCGCGAGGCTGGCTAGGGTGGAGAAATGATTTTAGCTAGTATTGTTATCTATTATACTTGTAACCATATGTATTCGGCTATGCTATATAAAATGTAGAAGCGAACTGTTGCATTGTTATTCCTGGTAAGACAACCGTCTTAAGAGAACTGTAAGAAGTAAATACACAACGTGAAGCAGAAGTAAAGACAGCTAGAGACAAATTCTAGACGATCACAAGGCTACAGAAATATGTAGTAAGAAAAGATGCATGGGTCGTACGTAGGATGTGGCGACCGGTTCCCATTACCCGCTTTCCACGTCGGACAGAAGACCTATGGTGCTAAAATATTTTAGCCCAGTCGATGCACTGTGACGCTACGCTGTTTTTAAATAAATTAATTAACTCTCAGAAAACGGCCCGTGACACTAGGATGACACTTATCTAGTCAGGACTTTCACGCTGTATATAAAACTTCAAGGACCAATTGACTCTCGAACACTTTGTTGGTTTAGCTACGTTTTTATATCTTTAGAACACCCACAATAGAATGGGTACATACAGGAAACTATACAGACAACCATGCCATTGATAGTACCCTAAGAAACTTGCATCTTTCAAAATACTTTCTTCTATTTCTCTTTGTCACCCATTTGTTTAACCACTTCAATATATTAAACAGGGCACCTTTCCTAGAACTAACATAAAACCTATAGTATTTCAGCACAACAGTGGGACGTCATACCCTATTTCTTTTGATTTTTATTAAAGGGCAAGTGCTATTAGGGATCACGATAAGAAGCTGGCTCTCATCTCTAGCCTGGAGGTCAGGTGTTCGATCCTTGCATTGGCCGTGAAAATTCATCAAGATTTTCAGGCGTGGTTTCCCCTTGTCAGTGATGCAAGACGCAGGGCCTGACAAAAGACAACTGTCTAGTCGTTCGGATGGCGCGATAAACCGAGGTCCCGTGTACACATTGGTGTGCACGTTAAAGATCCCTTGACAGTTGGAATTCGATATAAGATTAGCCCTAGTGCCGCTGTCCGGGCAAACTTTATTAGCCCAGTTCGGAGCAGAGCAGTAGAACGTTAAACCCCATTTCATTTCATTTGCAATTGCTATTGGGAATTCCTGACCCATTAACCGATATATCAAAAACATAATATTGTAGATAATCAGTTGGATACGTGCCAAATAAATTATTAGATCTGTTGTAAGCATATGATTATTGGTATATAAAATAGATAATTATCTACATACTGCAGCACACTTATTGTTACGGCTTGTTCCATCAAGATATAATTATAACGAAGGTCGATTTTGTAGCAACCGTATTTTCAAGATCTTCCATGTTGGTGATATTCTAACTCAATTCCAGATAAAATGGTTATCATCATCATACACAGACTAGTGGACGGACCTTTCGGCCACTGGACGTTTGGGCCTAGGGTGTTTCGGTCAGTGGACACGAGGTTTAACGTCTACTCGACAAACACAAGGTTATTTTAAAACTTGTGACACTATTCTCGTTTAAACCTGAAAACGATATGGTAAATATACCGGATATCCTGGGTTCGATGGGAGTGTATCAATTTGCGTAATGTTATAAAACGACATTCCCTGTACGAATTCTTACATATGGTATAATTTAATTTATGTATTCGTTATTTGCGGATGCCAGTTTTATAGCACGTTAGTTTGTGGGATTCCCAATAGAGACACGACGAACCTATTTACGTGTAAATACACACCTCAAGCACATATCCGCCACATTAACTATTGATATTTTAAGGTGACTATTGTCAGTATCAAGCCTCTGCAGGCTACAATTTCCTATATAGTGTACAGTTTACTTGATGTATTGGTTAAACATTTGTAGGAATGCCAGTGTTATATAGTATGTTATTTTGTGGGAATTCCCAGTAGACACGCGTCGAACCAGTTTGTATGTATTTACACTCGTCTAGACTATCACTTTAAACAGGTTTTAAAATGGGTATTCCCTGTATTGACCTTCTGTAAAGTCATTAAATGAGATGAAATGAAATAAAATGGGATTAAACATCCCACCGTTCTGCTCCGACTGTGCTGATGAAGACGGCATACGCCATACAGTGTGCACTATGGCCTAATCTTATATCGAATTCTAACTTTCAAGGGATCCTTTACGTGCACGCCAATGTGTACGCTAGACCTCAATTTTTCAACCCATCGAAAGACTAGACAGCGTTCCTTGTCAGACCCTCCGGCCTGCACCACTAACAAGGGGAAACCCCGAGGAACTTACTTGGCCAACACCGGTACAGAGCCCGCAACCTTCAGGCTAGCGAATCAGTGTCTTATTCACTGAACCACCGTGGCTCCGCCATTAAGGTTGATACTGAGGTAACATTATTATTCCATTACAATATCCTTTAAATTTCGGTACACTGGGTATTCAGGGGTTGAACTGAAAAGCTATTACTTACATTATCTGTATAGTTTGTGTCGATTTTCCGGCGTGGTTCGCCCTTGTGAGTGACACAGGACGGATGGTCTGACAAGGACAGCTGTCTAGTCGTTTGAATGGGACGAAAAACCGAGGTCTCATGTACACATTGGCGTGCACGTAAAAGATCCCTTGACAGTGGCAAAATTTCCCTCATAGCACACTGCATGGCGTATGCCCGTCTTATAGCCTAGTTCGGAACAGAACAGTAGGACGTTAAACCCCATTTCATTTCAGTTTGTGTCCATGTGCACGTCAGATGGCAACCTTTTTAATAGCTCGTCTAAATCACATCCCAATAAATTGGACTCTATATCTGTCCGTCGTAATAATTATGAGAGCCGTGTTACCTTAATGCTAATTTCTCTCTTGTTCCTATTCCTCTTCTCATAGAGCTGCTTTATTTCCAATACAAATACAAAATACCTAGTTGTCGATTCACGAGGCTTCCGAAGCAGAATCAGATAATATCCTTTTATGTTAAAATGGGTAGTTCAAAGTATTGGGAAAACCCGTTTCATTTCTATTTATAGTTTAATTATAGTAATAATGCGTGTCACCGTCAGTGCATTCATTCCTAATTTATTCTCGACGTAAGAAGGAGATGGATCTCTGTGTTCACATTGCAGGGTGACCTGCTTTTTATTAACTAGTATGACATGGGAAAGGATCGTATTGGATCAACACAAACTGACACAGAGACTAAAATCGTACAGTGACTGGACTTCTCCGAAATCGTATATTGAATTAGCTGTTGCTGGATTCAGGTAATAGTCAAAGTATATTATATTATTTTAATTAGTCCAGGACGTAGAATTGAAAAACAAAATCCCCACAGCTTCTTAAAGATGATATTCCACGTATGGACTTCTTGGCGTGGTGGGGATCACGTGGCTAAGTGGGTAAGACGCTGGCTCGCTAGTCTGGAGGTCGGGTGTTCGATCCCTGCATTGGCCGAGAAAGTTCATTCAGATTTTCCGGCGTGGTTTCCCCTTGTCAGTGATGCAGGATGGAGGGCCTGACAAGGACAGGTGTCTAGTCGTTCGGATGGGACGAAAAACCGAGGTCCCGTGTACACATTGGCATGCAGGCAAAAAATCCCTTGGCAGTTGGAATTTGATATAAGAGTAGGCCGTAGCGCCGCTGTCCGGGCAAAATTTCCCTCATAGCACATTGTATGGCGTATGCCCGTCTTCATTAGCCCAGGTCAGGAGCAGAACAGTTAAACCCCATTTCATTTCATTTCATTTCATTTCTTGACGTGGTTAGTTTATGGATTTATTCATGAAAACCTTAAACTGAAACATTTAAGAATTCTGCCCTTTCATTGGCCATTAACTGAGATTTATATTAGGATTTAACTCTCAACCAATGCAATGGCTGCATTTTACTATATTTAGTCCACAGGATCCTGGTATATGATGTCACGCAATACGCGTTAATACAGACAATCTTATTAAAATATGGTTTCGAATCCCCGGTTGTACGTGACAAGGAGAAGGGTCGCCTGTCCAACCTCGTGGGTCCTCCGGTTTCGTCCCACTGCTTAAGACCCCTACGTGCAAGCGAATTATTGAAATAAAAAAAATTAAAAACTATATGTTAGTCCCGAAATGACCTAGTTTGTGTCGAGTGGACGTTAAACCCATCTCTCTCTCTCTCTCTCTCTCTCTCTCTCTCTCTCTCTCTCTCATTAAAATAGGATCTGTGTTTTAATCCGATCGCGTTAATACACAGAATGAAATGGGATTTAACGCCCGACTGGGCTATGAATACGGAATACTAAAATCAAATGGTAATAATACTTTAATAGTTTTAAGAGCTATAAACCACTATTAATGTTGTTTCATAACATATGAAAGTGTCTCCGTGTTAGTTACATACATATAACAATATTTCGCTATAGACACTACTGGGTGATTAAACCTTGGTAACTCATAACAAGTATACACACCCTTGGATGATTAAACCCTAGTAACTCATAACAAGTATACACACCCTTGGATGATAAAGCCTTGATAACTTATAACAATGTACATCGCATACACCTCTGGCGTAGATTGTTTGTTCAATAATGTGATCGTCATGGGGCAATGATGTTTTAGTCATGTGAAAGTCATCCGGCTTTAGTCACGTTTCGTGATCATCCGGCTTTAGTCACGTTTCGTGACAGAATAATTCTGCTTGTCATTAGGTTATATTGTTCAAACTTGGTGTAGGCGTTTAATAGATGAGCCCCCCGTGGGTAAATACTGCTTTGACTAAGCGGTGATACCCAGAAGTCATGGGTTTTTTTTTTTTTGGTTTCATTACATCGAAGTATTGATTATGGTTTGATAAGTAGCATTGTCTGTTTATGCTACGTTTGATACATCGATGCTTCACAGAAAGATAACTGTGTTATTTATTATATGTCACTGGTAAGCTGATACAGTTGACTTATGAAACTAGGCCTTTTAGTAATGGCAATTCTTGTCATTAAATCATATAAGTGGTCAGTATTCTAAACTAATGTTAAGTTAGTATAAAAAGTGGTTTGAAATTATACATGCACGCCAATGTGTAGGCCTACACGGGACCTCGGTTTTTCGTCCCATCCAAACGACTAGACAGTTGTCCTTGTTAGGCTCTCCGTCCTGCATCACTGACAAGGGGGAACAACGCCGGAAAATCTATTTCACAATAATTGACATTGCAAAACGTGTGCAGTTTACAAGACGACGCCTGTGTCAATATTAAGATTTTGACAAAGAGTACGAGGAGCTGTTTGAAGAAAACTGTTATATTATGTTTACAGGTGACGATGCTAGACCACACATCATTCATATTCTGTACCTTTTCTTCATAACGAGAGAGCGAAGTAGGGTTTAACGTCTACTCTACACATGGTTCAATTTTATATTAATAATTCGCTTGTGCGTAGGGTTCTTTATAAGTTTGAGGTCACCGGAGTGCCTTTGTCCAACAGATGACGAATTCAGCCAACCAGGTCAGAAGGGAAGAAATTAAATTAAATTAAACTGAAAGTGTAGCATAAATAACTCTAACAATAAAATTGCCTGGTGCATTCTATAAGGAACCTAAAGTAAAATATTTCAAAACAGTCATTCAATTGCACTTTTATCTCACATTCGTCATCAAAAGGTGTCAAGAACCAAAAGATTGCAAGGTGTGGCCATCACGATATAAACCAAGGTCCTGAACGTGAATACCAAAGTGGATTATCCACGATTTGGGAAGTATCGTCGAGAAAAGTGGGAAACCTGTCAGGATTTCTGAAGAGACAGGGAGACAGAGAAAAATGGGGTTTAACGTCCATTAGACACAAACCCGGTCATTTCGGGACTAACGCGGTTCAATTTTATTTCAATAATTCGCTTGCGCGTAGGCTTATTTAGCAACGGAAGGAAACCGGAGGACTCGGGGAAAATCCACTAGGTTGGACAGGCGGACCTACTCCTTGTCACGTACAACAGGCGATTCGAAACCACGTCAGTTGACTCAATGACAGACCTTATGATACAACGCGGACGCGCTAACCATTCGCCCCCCCCCCCCCCCGATTTCTGAATGGCGTGTTGCGATTGTCATAGTGTGGGAAAACAACTTATCATTTAACCCAAATATTTCACATATGATGGGCAAAACTAAAGGTATTCACCCACACGTGCTCCTGTTTTATCGACGATACAGCTCAGACACCCTAATAATGAAAGATTTAAGTATTTTGTTGTCGAGGATGCTGGTATTTCTTTTCCATCATTTAATTTGTCGTCGTGTAATCAGTTCAACAGTATCGCGTTTATAACATTAGACGAATGAAAAGTCTCAAGAGTTCAGTTAAATTTATTACAAGTGTTTGACCATCTATGTAAGAGTCGTGATTTCCCGACTATCAAATAAACTACACTGATACTAATGGTCGCTATAATAGAATTAAAAATCCGAAATTCCAAAATGACATGAAATACCTGATCAATTTCTATGGCCCCAGTCAGTGAAATGAAATATGGTTTAACGTCCCACTTTTCTACAGCAGCAATGAAGAGGGTTGTGCTATGGTTTACTCTTTGTTCGAAATCCAATAGTCAACCGACAAGGTGTGCATGCTACCTCGGGATTTCGTACCATGCTGGCAATTTAAATCTCGGGGAACTTGCTCGACCAACACTGAACGCCGCATCTCCTGATTAGTTAGCCAGTGCTTTGATGAATCACTGTGTTTCCCCATTTAGTTATAGGTCATCAATGTCTTGCATGTAATAGGATATCATTACTTTCTAGAACGTCTGATACTACTACTCAATCCATGAGACTACATAGTTAATATAATTCAATTTGTTCTTTTATATTTACAGATATACTGGTACGGCAGACAGAGTTAAGTGTGATTACTGTAATAAAAAAGTTGTTCAATGGACTGTTAATGATGATGCATTAGAAGTTCACAGCAGATACGGACCAGACTGCATGTACTTAAAGCATCTTGGATACACCCAAGATTTAAAATTGCCGCGTTTTTCAAAGTTTTCTAAGTTTGTGGACAGATTAGAATCAGTTAGGACTGTACAAGAAGAATATCGACTAAATCTCCCCCCTTTTGAGTCTATTGCCGAAGCTGGGTTTTTCTATCTTGGAACACTTGATCGGATGAGTTGTTATCATTGCGGTTTAATTTTGAGAGATTGGGAAATGGACACGGACCCTGTTGCCACACACAAACGGTTTCGTCCTGGGTGTTATTTCATTATATGTTGGAGTGTCCAAACCTCTGGTAGAAACATAAACTCTCTTATACATCCTTACACGGAAAATCAATCAAGCCCATTGTCGAACCTAGCCCAACAATCTCTAACAACAAAAATAGGTGAAATACTTGTTAATCTAAGTGAAACCAGGGCATCCAGAAATCAGAATGTGACTGGGACAGCAGCATCGACTAACGAATCGTCTAAAGCCGATAATGTAAATACGTCTGAAATACGGTATCCTACTAAAGCAGGCAAAAGGGACAGGTCACGAGTACCACATAATCAGATCACATCCACATGCAAAGGGCAATTCAACAACAGCTTTGTACAAATCTATTCTTCAAATACTGATACAGATGTTTCTGATGGGATAGATAATGTTGATGTTGCCCCTCCAAACCAATTGAATTCAAAAAATGTCTCACCGAAGACAAAGAAGAGCCGCCATAAACATAGACAGAGGCTACAATCGTCCGATAGCGAAATGGAGAAAAATAAATTAAAAACGGACAATACAAAGACTGATCAAACACATGATGGGAACACCAACCAAAAACTGAAAGCCCCTCAAGTGACCGGGGCTAGCAATTCCCAGACTTCGTCTGAAAGGGAGCTTAAAAACTGGAGGAAGAAGAAAAAGGCAGGGACCCAGAAGACTATTCCAATTGCACCAACCGTATCAAGTAAAGAAAGAAATACTGATCCTTTGAATCTTGGTAAAGGTACATTTGGTAGTAACGGTTCGCTTCCTAAGCATCGTAAGTCACCGTTTACGTCTTCCAGCAATTCACAGATTCCAGAAGGGGCTTCATCAACGCCACACTTTCATTTGGCAAAACCTTTTAGCGATTCTGTAGACCAACAGCCGCATACACAATCATCTCGCAGTTCACCACCCGAGGGTCAAGCGTATCTATCACACCAACGAAGCATACCTGAAATTCATTCATCAGAGGTTGAAAGCCAACTTGCTGCACCTCAAGCCCACCTTCCGCAACTTCAAAGCTTACCCGTAAACAACACCCATTTTCCAGAATCTGCAATTACTACTGCTACTGCAGACAGTCACATAACCCAATCTCTACCACCAATGTTTAACCCAGAAGGTTTTAGCGAACTACCAATGATTCAGGCCGTATTACAGATGGGAGAGGTCAGCTACGATTCCGTTGTTAATACTATCTGTTCCAGATATAACACCCACGGTGATACTTTCCCTGATGCACAGTCTTTGTTATCAAGTATCTTAGACTCTGACATAGATTGAATGATACGTTATGTAAGGGCCATATCCTTTATTTTGCCTTCAAATGTTATATTTTCAAAATATTCATTTTTTATTATCTATTTTTCAACTATTATGGAGAGAACGTTTTGGGTCTTCATCTTACATTAATGGGTCTACATAATCATCATCATCAAATCTGGCGAAGACTCAATAGTATGAAATGACCTCGCTTGATTAGGGAAGGGAATAGGCCAACATCAACTCATAATGAATAACTCAATAACATTTCCTGGCGGATTTCGTGCTGAAATGGAAATAGCCGTAAGAGGTTTAAAATCGGTCAACTTTTATAATGCACGGAAAAATAATTTATTGCACCGGGTCTGCTTAGATCACGTGTCTATAGTACTTAATTCGTGTTTCAAATCGCTAACACGGATAGCTATCCTTCTGTCTTAATGTATTACCTGTTTTAAATTTAAATAACCTTTTATGCTCCTTTTGATATATCAATATTACAGGAAGTTATAGATTAATAATACAAGTATTAATATGTTGAGATCTTCTTAAATTAAATGTTAATAACAATACGTTTTAAACCCGCATGTACCAGGTCGAATAGTATGCATATGCATTAAATTAACTACATTTAAAACCCCAAACTGCATAACTTTTGTTCTCTTATTGTCGTCGGCGCTCTGTTGGTTTTCAGGCCCTGTTTTATGGAATAATTTACCTTTTAGTATAAGATCTTGCACGTCACCATAATATATTCTTTAAACAAAAAGGTTTCGATTTCCTGGTTAAACTTGAAAAGGGGTAGGGTCGCCTGTCCAACCTCGTGGGTTTTCTCCCGGTCCTGCGGTTTCTACCCACTGGTAAAGACCCCTACGCTCAAGCGAATAATTGAAATAAAATTGAACCACTTATCATATGATATAAGGTCTTTTAACCTGGAATGTTATGAAGATAAATAAACTATGTTTCATTTCAAGGTGGGTGGATTGGCCGAATGGTTAACACGTGCACGCTATATCATTAGGTCTGTCATTGAGTAAACTGGCGCGGTTTCGATTCCCCGGTTGTACGTGACAAGGAGTAGGGTAGAATGTCCAACCTCGTGGGTTTTCTACGGGCCCTTCGTTTTCCTCCCGCTGCTACAGACCCCTACGCGCAAGTTAATTATTGAAATAAAATTGAACCATACTATGTTAGTCTCGATATGACCTAGTTTGTGTCGAGTGGACTTTAAACCCATCCCTCTCTCTCTCTCCCCCCCACTCTCTCTCTCTCTCTCGCATATCATAACATGTCTGGTGGTAGTTAAACAGTATATCTCTATTACGTGTATTTAAATTGGTCAATACAGTTTACCATCTCTTAATTAAAAACAGATATCTGAATATTCTATACTAATATTTGTGACTGTCGTTTGTCTGTCTGTTTGTCTGTCTGTCTGTTCGGGGTTGGCGGCTACACTAGGTCTGCCCCGAGTCTGAAATTTGGGGTATAGGGGTAGCTCGGACCGGGGAGTAATATAGGCCAGGTGGCGTTAGTCTACCACTTCCGGTTTCGGAGTTATGACCCCCGAGCGAAGCCGGGTATCCTGCTAGTAAAATTATATTAATTTTTATTGTCTTATTTATGATTATATAGGTGGGCCATAAATATGTTGTAATAACAATGATTATACTTTATAAACAAGTAAAAGCGTTATATATTAATATTATTCCTCGATAAATATCAATTATATATATTAATCAAACTAAATTATGCATTATTTAGATTAAGTTATAAATAAATTCTTTATTTCGTTAATGAGGAAACAACCTTACAAAGAGCACAATCAACTAAAACTGTTCAGATTGATCAATCCTAACTAGATTAATGGTTATATGAAATCAATCCCCTCAATAACTATCTAATTACCGTCTTCCTTCGCCCAGTAGGAAGTTAAAACTCTTTTCATGCCATTACTATTCAGTTCATTTTACAATCAAAAAGCCGTATTGGACTATGGGACTAGTGCTAAATTCGATGTTCGACTGACGAAAGTTATTGACGTTAGACCGACCATTCCAAGCAGTACGGGGGGTTGGATGGCATAGTTGGTAGCACGTGCGCGCTGTATCATTAAGTCTGTCATTGAGTGGCGTGGTCTCGAATCCCCGGTTGTACGTGACAAGGAGTAGGGTCGCCTGTCCAACCTCGTGGGTTTTCTCCGGGTCCTCCGGTTTCCTCCCACTGCTAAAGACCCCTACGCGCAAGCGAATTATTGAAATAAAATTAAACCATATGTTAGTCCCGAAATGACCTAGTTTGTGTCGAGTGGACGTTAAACCCCATTTCTCTCTCTCTCCAAGCAGTACTTTTTTTCTGATATGTGTGCTTTTTGTTTGGGATCGGGTCTGGTTTTATGGGTATTTGTTTCGGGTAGGTTTTTTTTTTGAGGTGGTTTACACACATCCCCTAGTATAGTCTCTTTTTCCTTTGTAGGTCTAGTTTGATCACTATTAAGCGTTCAATAACTAGACATGTTCAATGTTATTGCACACTTTTGCTGGTTAACACTAGTTTTAGTAGACTAGAAATCATATAGAGAAGTGGGGTGGGTTTTCTGTGCAAAAACAACAAGCATGTTGAGCAGGTGTCAATTTTACAAGTCATTTATAGCACGCTTCATTCGTGAACAGGTTTACCCCTCGCCCTGCGGCCTCTGGTTAAACCGGTTACGCATGAAAGCCGTGCTATAAATATAACGTAACAATGCGTACAATAGTATTGTTTTATTGCACTTTTTATGTAAATGTTTAAACTGTTAATATTAAATTCATACACTTAAAACCCTTTATTGTATTTTAAAAACTGTTAATATTAAATTTATACACTTAAAACCCTTTGTTGTATTTTTACCGGATAATCCATTGTTATTAAAGATGCATTATGGGAGATTAGATAAAGAGCTGGTAGTTCGCATGATCATAGTTAAAAACTAGATAATGTAAAGCGAATTTGCTGAAAATTTAAGTCAAAGTGATCCCCTCTAAACCGAGATATGAGCTTTTGAATTTTAGGCCTAGCCTCGATCAACATTACTAAAGTCGGTACGATAAGAAAATGTAGTCTCGATTATCCATTTTTGGATTTAATCATCAATGAGCATTGAGCAGGTGATCGGATTCAAATCCAGTAAATATCGCAGTCTAGTGATGACATCGAGAGTTGATTCTGGTCTGGATTAGTTAATTAATGTCTAATTAATAATTTAGATAACATTTCTGGCCTAAAGAAAGACCTACAATAGGCATATATTTTAATGTGAGATTCAATCAGGGTTTAAATTAATGAAATGAAATGAAATGAAATGAAATGGGGTTTAACGTCCTACTGTTTTGCTCCGAACTGGGTTAATGAAGACGGGCATACGCCATACAGTGTGCCATGAGGGAAATTTTGCCCGGACAGCGGCACTACGGCCTACTCTTATATCGAATTCCAACTGTCAAGGGATCTTTTACGTGCACTCCAATGTCTACACGGGACCTCGGTTTTTCATCTCATCCGAATGGCTAGACAGCATCACTGACAAGGGGGAACCACGCCGGGTTTAAATTAATGACTATGGGTTGTTATGTACAGTTAACTACGTTGATTACAATCGGGGATACTCAACACACAATATAAAAGAGGGTTGCGTTGGACTCGGTGGTTTCGGAATGGGTGACACCACAGTTCATTTTTACGCTACCGTTCGAAATCTATGCATAATGATTAATTCCGAGGCCACACTGGAAAAGTTGCCTGTCTGTGTAGGTTTGCAACCCAAGCATTGTGAAGAATAGGAATACCCTGCAAGAGTTTCGACCAGCATTCGACTGAAAATTTGATTCTTGCTTTTTGGGGATCATTGTGGCTAAGTTGGTAAGAAGCTGGCTCGCTAGCCTAGTGGTCGGGTGTACGATCCCTGCATTGGCCGTGAAAGTTCATCCTGATTTTTCGACGTGGTTCTCCCTTGTCAGTGATGCAGGACGGAGGGCCTGACAAGGAAAGCTGTCTAGTCGTTCGGATGGTACCAAAAACTTAGGTCCGTGCACGTATAAGATCCCTTGACAAATGGAATTCGATATAAGAGTAGGCCGTGGTGCCGCTGTCCGGGCAAAATTTCCCTCATAGCACACTGTGTGGCGTATGCTTGTCTTCATTAGTCCAGTTCGGAGCAGAACAGTATGACATTTAAACACTATTTCATTTCATTTCATTTCATTCTTGCTTTTGTTACACCTTGTTTAGACTAATGCAACAGCTGGGAGTTTAGACATCTATTAACCCCCCCACACACACACACGCGCAAGAGAATTAACTAAAATTCCCGATATAACGGAGTTTGTGGCGAGTGGGCGTTCCCCCCCACTCCTACACATACACACACACCCCTCTTTTTTCTCCTTCTCATTAACATTTTTTATAAAGAAGATGAGTAGATGTATCTAGCCTGTACCTGTTGCGATAATTTACCAAACGTAACGCGGTATAAATGAAACAAGTAGCTAGTTATAGCACGTTAATATCTTTTTCATTTCTTTTTCCCCCGAATCTTTACTACGTCAGCCCTCAATATTGAAAATGAAAATAATTAATCGAAACGAGTTAATGATGAAGTAAACTGGATAACCTACTCTAAATGACGTCAGGCGTGTTCGTACGTCATGGCGCTATTCTGACCAAAGCCCTGTATATGGCTTTGATTCTGACTTCTATATATAAGTCAGAAAAAAAAATGATGATGATGAAATGGGGTTTAACGTCCTACTGTTCTGCTCCTATACTGGGCTAATGAAGCCGGGCATACGCCACACAGTGTGCTATGAGGGAAATTTTGCCCGGGTAGGGGCACTTTCGCTTACTCTTATATAGAATTCCAACTGCCAAGGGATCTTTTACGTGCATTTCAATGTATACACGGGACCTCCGTTTTTTGTCTCATCCGAAGGTCAGAAAAAGGAGTGACGTAGGAGCGAGTTTGACGTATTAGAGCAGGTTATTTAGTCTAACGATGAAACTTCTATTTTTTTTTACCAGTTTTAACATTATCATTTATTCATAATTTGAGAAGGAAAACTTGTGTGAGGCCTCAATACAGAAAATCAGAAATGGTCCAATTGACATGTATCACAAAGACAAAGATTGAAAACGATTAAGTAGTCGGGTAAATTTTTTATAAGGTGATGGATGACCATTATAGAAATCATAGTTGTCTACCATGATGAAACAGGTATAGTACTTACATTTAACAAAAAACATGTTTCATACAAATAGCTTCTGGTCCGTGCAATTTATTTTAGTTTAAAGGGCCAATCTCGATTATATTTTTGAGAATAAAACTGCTTAATTTTGTGTTAAAAATTCCTTAAAATCTTATAGATCTGTCAGTCTTTATCAGGAACTTGAGACCGATGTCCTAAGCTGTATTATACGGTGTCTGGATAAAACCAGACTTTTATTTTATAAAAGTAATGTGTAGGTAACATTTACCTTTTGATATCAAGTACAGCACTGGGTTATGCACTGTATATACCTCTAAAAGAAAGGCAATAGATTATCAGGTCACCCGACGAAAAAAATTACCCGAAATCTTAAAAGAGTTACGTGTCCGGATAAGCGGTTTTGACGTTCACGTCCAAAAAGACTCAATATTTAAGACAAGATAAATACACCATTCCTCTTAAACATACATTATGCAAGAGCAAAATCGGCCTATTGTAGGTCTTTCTTTAGGCCTGAAATGTTATAAAAACTATTAATTAGACATTAATTAACTTATCCAGACCATAATCAGCTCTCGATGTCAAGACTTGCCTGCGATATTTGTTGGATTACAGTCCGATTTGCTGCAAAACTTTCCTTCGTGATTAACGATTAAATGGATAATCAAGACTATTAGTTTTGTCTTATCGACTTCAGTAATGATGATCGAGGCTAAGCGGAACTTTCATCCGCTTGGTTCTCGGTTCATAGTGGATCAATTTGACTGAAATTTTCAGCAAATTGCCTTTACATTATCTAGTTTTCAACTATTATAGTGAGAACTGCCAACTCGTTACCAAATCTCCCATAATGTATCTTTAAACGTCATACATACTTTTATTTCTGAGACTGTTAAAATCGGGATAGTCCCTTTAAATCTTCTGAAATTAACTTGTAACTTTGGCAGAATGATTTACCAATTGACTTGTTATTTGGCCGTCTACCCATTTTATGTCGTTTTTCGTTTCGTTTCGTTTCATTTTCCATACCTAATATAATGCTAGGAATGATCTAATCTTTAATTTATTGTACCTGTTCTATTGATTCGCCATTTGCGATATAAAACTTATATTATGCCAGACTCGAATGTAGAAATTCTAGACAATTAAACGATACTATAAAATCAACGATCTATTCTCATTTAATTGAACCAGATCCCTCAAAACATGTATTGTTCATTCACCAATCGAGATACAAAACGTATACTATTCCAGGCTTCAAGGGGGTGGGGGAGGGGGTGGATGGCTGAATGGTTTGCACGTGCGCGCTGTATCATAAAATCTGTCATCGATTCAACTGGCGGGGTTTCGATTCCCCGGTTGTACGTGACAAGGAGTAGGGTCGCCTGTCCAACTTCGTGGGTTTTTCTCCGGGTCCTCCGGTTTCCCCCCCCCCCCCCCACTGCTAAAGATCCCTACGCGCAAGCGAATTATTGAAATAAACTTGAACCAAATGTTAGTCCCGAAATGACCTAGTTTGTGTCGAGTGGACATTAAACCAAATCTCTCTCTCTCTCTCTCTCTCTCTCTCTCCAGGCTTCAGTTTTGAAATATTGAAGTATTAAACGATAATAATTTACAATGTATTACTAATTTACTGTACCAGTTTTTCACCATTTGAGAAAGCAACTGAAAAAACAAACAAGGGGAAACAAATTTGTGGATTGAGTGGACACCAAAAGAAATGACACACATCACAAAGGAAGAAAGAGATTTAAAAGAGAGAAAAACGTCGGTACGATTTTTACAAGTTGATGGATGAGAAAAGATATTGTCTATAATAATGATACATGCTATAATACTTAGCTTTAATAAAAACCATGTTACATACTAATAACTTAAAGAAATGATTTGATCAAGGGGTAAAATAACTGGTTGGTTAAATGTATATAAGGACGGAATTAACCTATAGTTAGCATTCAGAAGACAACAAAGAAACCTACAGGCAAGCAGTATTCGAATAGTATCAAGTCCATAAATCAGGTAAGCTGTTCCTTTTTTTAATTACTGAAACACAACCAAATATTTCCAGCTAAGTTTTAGCGCTGCAAAAATCAAAAGTCGAGTGAATAGGCACACCATTCTCGTTCATGTGAGTCCAAGAGTCGAATACTTACATTCGACTTCTATGAAGAACATTTGGGAATTTTTCAATATCCGCCCCCTGTTTCCAGTGTGGCATGACAAGGAAAATATTCAGAGTTATCCGGAAGGAACAAAAGATCGTATACATTTGCGTTTACGTAAACGACCTAAATGTCTCTTTAAAGCGGAACTAGTAAAGTTAACCGGATGTCAGTCCCAAAATTTTCAATATAAAATCCAATGAAAATTTGTATTTTTAACTCCATTAAAGAGGTTGTGTTGTTTTAACATCGTTATAATATTTGTTTATAATCATTTCAGATCAAAATGAAAGTAGAAATGATTTTAGCGTTTATTGTTGTTTTGGTAACTATGTCGTTAAGTAATGCTGCAAATTCGAACGAAGGTGAGTTCTGTAATCTGAAATATCCAACTCTTAATTGAACAAAAGTATCTAAAATGCCCATTTAGTGTTATATGTTTTCATAGCGGTTGTGCGGGGGCTAGATCTATTTGATAAGGCTTACTCAATTTTCGTCCAGGTCGCTGAGATGTAAATAAGGTTAGAGTACGTGATTGTTGGCGAGATTGTAGGTTAGGGTGAGGGTAAGCGTTAGGGCTAGGTCCAGGATTAGGGTTGGGATTAGCGCTAGCGCTGTTCACATCTCGTGACCTTTTACCAGCCTTGAAGTTGTCCTTATAAAATAGATCTAAACATTGCGCAGGTTGGTAATTCCCACACGACGTGGTATAAACCCCACAAGGGCCAGGGTTAAATGAATGAACTTGGCGTTTGTTAAAGGTAAGGCCTGAAAATAAACAAGACCCGGTTTGAACGCCAGAAATCCCAATATTGTTTTTATCAATATTCAAATTTTTGTTTTTTGATTTTCTTTTTATCAGATCCGGATAGGCAAAACTTTGGTGGTGGACTTTTTCCTGGAAATGGTTTCTTGAACAATCTATTCCAACCAGCGCAACCATATCAACCAATGAACCGATTTAACAGATTCCCTAACCGATTTGGTAATCCACGGTTGAATAGATTTGGACAAAATAGATGGGCAGGTCAAAATAATTTCTTTAATCCAGGAAGTTGGGGAGGAAACCAACGATCTGTTAACCCATATCAGATTGCTGGCCCTAGCAGTAACTTTATCTGGTAATCATTTTGAAGATGTAATTATTGTTATTGTAACATGAATATCATATGCATTCCATATAACTGATCTGTTATATTGATCTCATGATCTGTAATATTAATCTGTAATATTAATCTGTAATATTGTTTGATATGTATTTGATTGATCTGTGTTATTGATCTGTAGTATTGATTTATAATGTCGATTTGTCTGTAATATTGATTGATCTTTAATACTGATTTATCTGTAATATTAATAGGTTTGTAATATTGATTGGTTTGTAATTTTGTATATATAATATTGATTTGTAATATTGGTCTGTAATATTGATTAATCTTTAATATTGATCTATATTAAATATTGATCTATATTAAATATTGATCTATTTTAAATATAAGTGTGCGATTAAATAATTAAAAATTATATTTGCTGTTTTTTGTAAATATAAGAGATAGACAAATACTGTTTTAAGTGACCGTTGAATAAAGAGATGAAACAACAGAATTTCTACGGGGGGAATTTATCGTGACCGCTTACAAGGAGATGTCGCTGAATAGGAGTGGCTGCTCATACAGATTCTACTGTAGTAAGAAAAGATGCATGGGTCGTATGTAGGATGTGGCGACCTGTTTCCGACATCGCCCGCTCTCCACGTCTGACAGAAGGCCCATGGTGCTACATTACTCGCTTAGCCACAGCGGCGCAGACAAATAAACAAGTCCTTAAATCATTTTACTGAACATTCACGTGAATTTCAGTTGAACTGATTTAATCAAATACAATACTTCCTCACTGGCGGTATCGTTTGCATAATAGTAAGTTCAATTTAAACAATGTGATTGGACTTTGGGTCATTTTAGATCTTTCACAACGTAATACAGAACAAAATGTGTATTACAGAACAAAATGTGTATTACAGAACACCATTAAAAGTGTGGCAGTTTCGTGTTATAAGTCCTTTATGCTGAGTCCTGTCATGCAATGCGTTACGATAAGACTGTCCGTTTGAGTCCAAGATCGGGTACGTGCAGATATGTTCGGATACGTTTCAATACGATCAACACGATTGCTACGACTGACCTCAATATAAGACCTGATAGTAACACTACGATTACCCCAAGATTAAAACCATGATTTCAATCATAGCGCGAATCGTGATAGTGGGAACCTAGCATTAGCATAAACATGCCAAGCTCTGTAATATTGGTGTCAATTATGCGACATTATGTGGAATGTGTTTGCAAAAAACACGGCGTGTGCTCGTATCTCTGAGTCAATGGGCTTCAAAGATAACGGAAATACTTTAGTTGAACGGAAACAGATGACAATGTATGATCAAGATATCGGTGTATGATTAATGGGGAACCTAGAAATCGAAACCACGCTATTTGACTCGATGATAAACCTTACAATCAAAACCCACGTGTTATACCATTAAGCCACGTTATGAGTAAGGAAGATCAGAACGTACGATAAGATGCTTCCTCATTTTTTAACCAGTCCCGTAACTAGGGGGCGGGGGGAAGACCCACCCCTCCTGCAAAAATTTTCGCCTCCGTTAAACTTTTGTCGACCATAGTTATACATTGTCCGCCAATCTTACAGCACCCCTGAGAACACTTCCCGCCCCGCCCCCTCGTTGCTCTGAACTAGTTACGGCCCTGTTTCTAACGGCGCCCTAGTGAAGTTTCAAGCTTGAAGGGGTGGTCCTATCACTATATTTCTGGATGAAATTGGCACGTGAAAATTAAAATTATTATTATCATCAAAAAAAGGCATACCTATTTGACATATATTAAACGAAATGAAATGAAATGGGGTTTAACGTCCTACTGTTCTGCTCCTAAACTGGGCTAATGAAGACGGATCTTTTACGTGCACGCAAATGTGTACACGGGACCTCGGTTTTCCGTCCCATCCGCAGGACTAGACAGCTGTCCTTGTCAGGCCCTCTATCCTGCATCACTGACAAGGGGAAATCACGCTGGAAAATCTAAATGAACTTTCTCGGCGCGGACAGTGCAGGGATCGAACACCCGACCTCCAGGCTAGCGAACCAGCGTGTTACCCACTTAACCACCATGACCCCCATATTAAACAATGTTCTTTTTGCGGTATGTATCTAAAACGGTGTTCTTATTGCTATATGGTTATAAATACCTTTGTACTAAACTACAGAATTATTATCTTTGATCTAGACACTTTATCATACAATATAGTCAAAATGAACAGATTTATGCCATCTTGGAGTTTTTGTGGCCATCTTGGATTTTTTTTATAATATTTTAAATGAAAATTAATACCCTTATGCTAGGTTCCCACTATCACGATTCCTGCTATCTTGGAGTTTTGTGGCCATCTTGGATTTTTTATAATATTTTAATGAAAATTAATACCCTTATGCTAGGTTCCCACTATCACCATTCGCGCTACGATTGAAATCGTGGTTTTAATCGTAGTGTAATCGTGGTGATCCTATCGTGTCGTATCATATGTTGAGGTCAGTCGTAGGAATCGTGTTGATAGCATCGAAACGTATCCGCTCATACCTGCACTTATCTCATCGTGGACTCAATAGGGACAATCCTATATCGTAACGAATCATCGCGTGACAGTGTGAACCTAGCATTAGGAAAAAGTTTTGATGTTTTATAATCTGTCATACCCGTGAATGTATTGGTAAAAAAATCCACACAATTCTTGACTTCATTGGTATTCAAATTGTGAAAGACAACATCTAATTTATAACGTTTGATTTATTAAATAAGTATTTCCTGTTGATTCTGATAACCAAACATTTCCTGTTTCAACTCGTGATTAATATGAAATCATTTTTTGTATAGTTTCCTTCATGGGGAATTTGTATTTTCGCTGGAAGTTCTGGTAGTCATATACGGAGCTGGACAACCGAGAATCACAAAGTAAAAGATTATATTTTCACAATCTTGTATTTTATTTAGTTAAATGTAATTTTCATTGGAAGTCTCCTGCAGTTAAATTCGGAGCTGGAGAACCGAGAATCAGAAGGTAATGGATTGTATTTTATTTGAGTGAAATTCAATCTGCGTTAATCATATTATATGTTTTCTTTATATAAATTGTTATTGAAGACTTATTTTGTTATCTGTTACTGATCGACTTTATATACATTGTTATTGAAGACTTATTCTGTTACCAGTTACAACTCGACTTCTTCGCAAATTTATTCGTAGATTCGGTACTGTCAAAGGGGGTTGGGTTCTCTTCTCTCTGTATACTGTCAAGGTAAGTCGTGCGGGGGACGGGAGGAGCGGGCGGGGTCTCTTCGCTCCATATACTGTCGACAGAAATGAAGTGAAATGGGGTTAAATGTCGTACTTGTCTGCACCAACCGGGATAAGGGAGTTAGTGACCGAATGGTGAACACGTCATTGAGTCAAGTGGCTTGGTTTCAATTTGTACGTCACAAGGGGTATGTCTGGCCAGCCTCGTGAGTTTTATTCCAGGCCCTACGGGTTCCTTCAACTGCTTTTAAGCAAGAAACGCACGCACAAGCGAATTGTTGAAATAAAATTGAACCACGTAATCAATGGTATAATGAGGAGTGGATTGGTAACATTTGGTCGTTGATGTGTTTGGGGGGGGGGCGGCGAAGGGGAGGGGGTAACAGTTTCATATGGGCCCTGTTTCTCGAAATTTTAACTAAAGATACTTCATTTTTGATTGGCTAAGCACTAAAATCATTCTAATGTTATCCTATCAAATTACTAAAATTTGGATTTTATCTTAGTTAAAATTTCCGTTCGACAGCCTTCCTCTGAAAGGGGTTAAGTCTTTAACTGAATCCCATCAACGGTCTTCGACTTTGTAAAAACAACTTATTTGTCAATCAATTTAAATCCACATTGCTGTTGTTATCTTAACGTGAAAAGGTGGCCCTCTGATACCTAGCTATTTTAAATACAAATCCGACAACCTGTTTACTAATTTTAAATTAATTTTCGTCTTTGTTATATTATATTTTGTTACCATTTAAATGTATGACAAGATCGGATAACCCATTCTCCGGAACCTTAATATAGACGAAAATGGGTATAAAAGCTCATATTGAAGTGATCTAATTAATTCTTTAAAAAAAACTTATTGTAATTTGTAAACAATACCCGGTGGAACCCGCGAACGGCAGAAATGGATCGACAATCCTTTGTGCCTGCATAGTCCGGAGGTTTTTGATTATTATTTTGTCCTTCATGAATCAGCCACTTTTGATGACTTCCATATTGTCTTCTGAGATATGTTTTTCTATGTCTATTACAAAAGGCACTATAGTTTATTAGTATTAAAATAATATTTATGATGATGTAACGATTGGAGTCCGTTTGGATTTATAGGGATCAAGATACTTATTCAAAATGGCGTGTTCTGCCATGGCGATATCTATATAATTTCTATGGATTGCTCATTATATGTTTCAGATTGAGACAGAATAATTGTTAAAATGGGATCTATTTATCGATGTCATCTTTACCTCATGTTAGTTTCATGTGGATGGCTGATAACTGTTTACGCCTCATGGAAACCAGGGTGTGAAGGTCAATTCCTGTACAATCCTAAAGACGGATACACGTGTAAATATGCCGAATGCAGAAAATCTGGCCCGACGAATCGAAAATTCCACGTGGTCTGCGAGAAAAGGAATCAGCAACCATATGAATGTGTCTATGAGGGCAATCCACATAGTTGTCACTATTACAACTCTCATCAAAGGGAGTTTTATAAAGGCCTGTCCGTCGCAGCTGGAAGAGATCAACTCACTGCCTGTTCACAATCTCAGCTAGTTTTTGAAAAATGCAGGGATATTAAAATGACCAGGACGATCAACAGGCGCAACAAGGCTGATCCATTTTGTAACGTTAAACAGGATTTCTTATTCTATGTCGTATAAAAACGGGAAATTAACCCTCATGATGCTTTAATGCTTTATTTTCTTTAATCTTTCTTCTTTCCCCAGCATAACCTCAGTCTGGTGCTTTATCCTACACATAATTCATAAATACACTATTTACGAGGAAATATTTAGTATTCATAATTCATAAATACACTATTTACGAGGTAATATTTAGTATTCATAATTCGTAAATACACTATTTACGAGGTAATCTTTAGTTGTGAAAGACTTTAGTTCTTAAAACCCTTTTCATATTCAACTTTATTATATTCTGTCGAGTATTTCATACAATTAAATTGCTGTTCATGAAAATGCACATTTGCATTAAATGCTTATTCATAATGTTTTTGCACAAACAATGTTTGTAAAAATAAAAATGGGCTCACTATTCTTCGTTTTATTTTATAATTCGAAAAACAAATCCTTCGTTCTGTTATATGCCGACATGTTAATGTCCACTCCACACAAGCTAGGGTATTATGAGACTAACATATGAGGCAATATTATATCAATAATTCGAATGGCAGCATGAGTCTTTGACAGTTGTTGGTGGTGGGGGTGGGGGATAGATCCTGAGAAAACCCACCAACATGCAGGCGACCCTACGCCTTGTCACGTTCAAGCGGGGAATTGAAACCTCTTCACTAGGCTATTTTGATACTAACATATGGTGCAATATCATTTCAATAATTCGAATGTCAGCAGGAGTCTTTGACAGGTGTTGGGGAGTGGGGGGGGTATGTCCGGAGAAACCCCATGCAGGCGACCCTACGTCTTGTCACGAACAAGTCTGGAATCGAAACCACGCCACTTGACTCAATGACAAGGCTTATGATTATCAAGCGGTAAGCTTTATGGGTTTCCCCGTATATGAAATACTTGGTAGTGTGGATTCAATTACCTAAGTTACGTCAATTGTAAACGAACGAAACCTGGACGAAATAAATATATCAGCCCATGGACAGTTACCTTCGACTGTAGTCAATCTAATACAGTTGAGGCCCCACAAAAATGTATCCAAAACCTCTTTTTATTCTGTCAATATCAGGCTATTTCTAAAAAAGAATTATCATTTGCAGAGATTTCGAGATCTATTCCACTTGGCCAAAAAGGAGGTAGGGTGGAGTGTCGAGCATAAATTAAATCCGTGTTTGTCTATCTCTTACATTTATAAACGTGCGATTTTGTCCCTTTGAAAAGAAATCAGAGTTCCAATATTGAGGTTAAAAGTATAATTTATTCAAGTGAAGACTTAACGTTCGTTCGTTCGTTCTTGGTGTTTAACGTCTGCTTCCACATAAGTGATATCGCAGACAAGACATAGGAGAGCCGAAGCTGATTCCTGTTTTTTAGAATATGATTTTGCAATCTTTCCATTTGGCCTTAGGCCATGGATTTGGTTTAGTGGGAAGTTCGTCCCTTTATTTAATATAAAACATATCGTTTGGTAGATGATTACGTCTGCTTCTGGATTGGTAGATGTCATCGCTTTAGTGTTTAGGTGGAGGCCCACTCTCTGGGTTTGGTATCAGTTTTATTTGCGGAATAGTGTTTAGGTGCCGAGTACGTCTGACCGTAACTCCCCCTTACTCCACTATCCTGCTAGTTTGGTATATGTCATCTTTGTGGGGTTTGTGTTTAGGTGCCAGGCCCGTCTTATCATGACCTCCCCTTACTCCACTATCCCATTCTGTAGGTTTGGTGTCTGTTTTTGGTGGAATAGTGTTTAGATGCCGAGTCCGTCTGATCGTGACTCCCCCTTACTCCACTATCCTGCCAGTTTGGTATAAATCCCCTATGTAGTTTAGTGTTTAGATGCCGGGCCCGTCTAACCGTGACCCCCTCTTACTTCACCATTCTACTTAGTCCAACTGTGTCCATTAGGGCGTGGATTTGTTCGAAGATTTGCAGTTTCAGATCTGGTCTCGGGAAGAGTAGGTTCTTAGTGTTGAATGGTATGTTGTTGGTCTCCATTGTTCTCACTAGTTCCCTTCTCTCCTCCTCGTATACCTCGCAGTCTACCAGGACATGGTTGGTGGTACATTCTTCTCCGCACTCACAGATGATGACTTGGTGTTTGTAGTCTCGTAGCCGCTCTTTCACCCTTAGCTTCGATATAAGTCTACAAATATCTCTTCTAGGGTGATTGAGTGTTGTCTTTGTGTAGATCTTGTCATCCAGCCGGAATCTGTATGTGTCAAGTTCAACGAGATTTAATTCCCAGATTGAATTGACCTGTCTTTTGACCATACTGTAGATTTCCGTGGTGCTGTAGTCAATGGTGCGGAGTGGTGCTGTGTCCTTGAGACCTTCATTGGCGAGTCGATCTGCCTCCTCGTTTCCTCTTATGTTGACATGTGATGGAATCCACACGAGTTCTACTTTGCTTCCCTTCTCTATAACCCTCTGGTACAGCTGCCTGATTTCCAAAATGACTTCTGGTCTTGAGTCCGAGTTGTCATTTTGGATTGAAATCAGACTGCTCAGAGAGTCGCTTGGAATGACGAACTTACTAGTCTTTTGATGGGAAATCCATGATATAGCGTCACGAATGGCCACACAAGCTCTGCAGTGTACACCGAACAGTTATTGGGCAGTTTCCTGCTTATTCCCTGTTTCCCGTTTGGCAGGTATATTCCAAACGAGCTGGTGCCCCTTTCAGGATTGCGTGAGCCATCCGTGTACACATGGTCCCAGTCATCAGACGGCCAGTTGTCTTCCAGGTGTTCTAGAGAGAAAGCACGTGCAGCAGTGGGGTTGTTTTCTTGTCAATTTTCTGTAGTAGATCTAGATTAACCGGCGGTATAGGGAGCGTCCAAGGGGCGATCGCTGGGGGGTCGTGTTCATTTATCACGAGCTCCCCCAGTTGCAGTTCCGTGATTGTTTCCCTGATACCCTGGCCGAAGCTTTTCTTTCTAGGATCTCTTACATATCTTGTCTTTTGTAGACTGACAAAAGTAGGGGATCTTTCGCCCAGTTGCGAGATCTTGGCCCAATACCTTGTCGCTAGTTCTTTTCTTCTTAGGGATAGGGGCAACTCCCCGGCTTCCTGTAGTAATGCCTCTCTCCTAGTCCCACGCCCTACGCCGGTCGCAATACACAGAGCTTTGTATTGGATGGTGTCAAGCTTACTTAAGAGTTTTGGCGCACAGTTCATGAAGGCCAAAGAGCCGTAGTCTAATACAGAGCGTATTAGAGCACGATACACCATCATTAATGTAACTCTATTGGCACCCCATGTGCTGCCCGTTATTTTCCTCATTAAGTTTAGGATTTTGGTGCATCTGTCTTCTGTCTCGTCGATGTGCGGTTTCCAGGTCAGCCTTCGGTCAAAGATTACACCACGGAACTTGGTTTGGTCTTTAAACTCGATGGTTTTCCCGTTCATACACAGAGTCATTCTGTTTATCCCTCTATCCCTGCTTACAAGCATGCCGACTGTTTTCTTCTCCGAGACTTTGAATCCCCAATCGTTTGCCCATGCCATGAATTTGTCTAAGGCCTTCTGCATGTTCTTTTGTAGTTCACAGAAGTTCCTCCCTTTCCTCCATATGGTACTGTCATCAGCAAATTTAGCTAACTCAGTTTTCGCGTCGAGGTAGGAAGATTTCTGTATGTCGTTGATCATGATATTGAAGAGAGTGGGACTGATAACCGACCCCTGAGGCGTGCCATTTTCTAATGTTTGCTCGGCACTCAGGAATCTGCCTACATTCACCTGTATCCTTCTATCGCTCAGAAAGCTTTTGATCCACCGAAACATTATGCCCGTTATACCAATACGTCCTAACTTGAAGAGCAGCCCGTCTAGCCAGACTAAATCGAAAGCCTTAGTTAAATCTACGAACACGACACATAACAGGTTCCCAGAGAGGAGTGCCTGCGACATGACTTGCTGTAGTCTCACCAAGTGGTCCGTTGTTGAACGCCCTTTCCTGAACCCGCTTTGATTTTCGTCGATCAGTCGGTTGCTCTCCAGATAGAACTGTAGTCGTATGTTAACCATTGTTTCCAAGGTTTTGCACAGTGTGGATGTCAAGCTTACTGGTCGATAGGACTCTGCCTTTGTTCTCTCTTTACCTGGTTTTGGAAGAGGGATGAAGTTGGCTTTCCGCCATTCTTTGGGTACTTCTCCTGAAGACTTAACGATTGTCCACGAATTTAAAGGCTTGAATTTCCGAATATACACGCCCAGTTATCTTGTAGGAATTCAATTGGTGGATGTTTAAAATATCCAGAGAAAACCAGAGGCTTGGTCATTGATTGGTTAAAGACAATCTTACCTAACTCAATCCTTCACGTGTCATATTGAGTAATTATATTGCCTCCAGTTAATCCCAGCGTATTGTTTGAAAAGTCTTACGCGTCACCATTAATTATACTTAAAACCAGTCTAAAATCATACACAATAAAGGACTCTTCAAGTGTTTCTTTAATCCGTCAATATTCTTACATAACAGAGTTAAGCTGTTATCTATCAATGTCAACAAGGAAATCTTACTTTAGTTTTAAAATAAAATACGCAATTTAAACCTTATTAATAAAATACATATGCAAATTATATGTGAAAATATACACTACTACACAATTACAAAAAACAGCAAATACAATTTTTGATTATTTAATCGCACACTAATATTTAAAATAGATCAATATTAAAGATCAATCAATATTAAAGATCAATCAATATTAAATACCAATTAATATTACAGATCAATATTACAAATCAATATTACAGACCAACCAATATTACAGATCAATCAATATCACAGATCAATCAAGTACATATCAATCAATATTACAGATCATGAGATCAATATAACAGATCAGTTATATGGAATACATATAATATTCATTTTACAATAAGAATAGTTACATCTTGATCATTTCCACCCATCTTCAAAATGTTTACCAGATAAAGTTATTGCTAGGGCCAGCAATCTGATATGGGTTAACAGATCGTTGGTTTCCTCCCCAACTTCCTGGATTAAAGAAATTATTTTGACCTGCCCATCTATTTTGTCCAAATCGTGGATTACCAAATCGGTTGGGGAATCTGTTAAATCGGTTCATTGGCCGAAATGGTTGCGCTAGATAGAATGGGTTCTTTAAGAAACCATTTCCAGGGAAAAGTCCACCACCAAAGTTTTGCCTATCCGGATCTGATAAACAAAAGAAAAAACATTTTTGAATATTAATAAAACCGCGAGTGTGGGGTAAATAATACTAGGCAATGGAAAACTTGTAATTACAAAATGATTTCAAACTGGGTCTTGTCTATTTTCATTCATAAACGATAAGTTCATTTGTTTAACCTTGACCCTTGTGGGGTTTATACCACGTCATGTACGGATTACCAACCCACACAACCGCTATGAAAACATATAA